TTAATTATTTTAAATCTTAAGTATTTTCTAAAATAAACGAAATGAGAATAAATTCAAAATAAATATTTATATCGAGTAATAACAAAAATATAAAAAAACATAGCAAGAGAAAAATGGAACATAAATAGGACTGACACGTGAACGTAAATTACTCATAACCATAATTAATTTTTAAATTGTTAAATCATGATATAAAACTAAGTTAATTTTTAATTTGTTAATTTTTTTAATTTTTTTAAATCATTATGGTTATGTTAAATCATGACCATAATTAATTTTAAATTGTTTATTTGTATTTGAAAAACTTAAAATATTGTTTTTAAAAATGATTTAAAATTTAAGAAATTTTTTTATAAATTATTTAAAAAATAATAATTTGTAAAAAATAGAATTTTCTAATATTATTAGACATATTAATAAATTATATTAAATTATTTTTGAAACTTTATATATTTTAAATGCAAATATTTTACCAATTGCTTCTTAAAAAACATTAGAGAACTTGTTAATACTCTACCAATCAAGCCCAGTGACACTCCATTTATTTTCCATCACTCGAACACTGAAAAGTGAAAAGATATATGAAATAGATCCATTAAATTCTAAGATTTGATCTACATTTCTAACTAAAATTGTTTCTGATCCTACGTATAGATAATTATATAAAAATTTCAAAATTCTTAAATTTCAAATACATACAAAATCAATCATATGTAAATTTTAAATTTGTCAATACTAAAATTTTATATTTTAATTACATATATTCACCCTGCGCAAGGCGCAGGTCTTATCCTAGTAATCCGATAAAGCTCAAACATGTAAGGAATGGGGACATTAAGAAAGAAGATATTTGTTCTCCTAATGGATTGTAACCAATTATATCCAAACCTAACAGTACACCTGCATCTACATACTTTATAGAAAAATAATAATTATTATTATTTGAGAAAAAAAAAATAATAATAATAATTAAAACGTACTTGCAAATCCAGAAAGTTTTGGAACTGACCAAAATTCTTTCGAAAATATATTTTAGGTTTACCTTAAATATATAGAAAGTGTGATTTGTTCAAATAAAACCCAACTAGGATTAGACCCGCGCCTTGCGCGGAATGAGATAATTAAATTTGTTGTATTTTTTGAATATAAGAAGACATTATCTCTGTTTTATTTGCATATTAGTTTTTTTTGGATTGGTTGTTTCGGGTTTTAATATCGTCCAATTATATATCTATATTATAAATATTGTCTTTTTGGTTAAATTGCGATTTTGTCTCATATATCTGTTTTTTTTGTCATCCACACGATATGGAAACACGTAAGATGAAAGTATATTGCTGTCAATACCATTAAGAGTATTGAGACAATCCCAAATCTCCTTTTAGTCTCGAGATGGGTTGTGAAAAGGCTCATTTCGAGAAGCAAATTCTCGACTTGTATAACGAAATCTCCAATCTCAAGAGCCCTTAAACCTTTCACATATATATGTCGACAATTTGTTCAATAGNATCCTCAGTACACTAACTACCTCAAACTTAGCAAGGTTGAGTTCAATCTCTTCACGCTACACACGAGCCATGTCCAAACCAAGATCGCGTTCATGGGCTCCGGTACGTTGCCCTTCACATCCATCATCTTAGATACGTCCCACCGCTCTAATAACGACGTTCCAGAACTTTGACATCGACCCTCAAGCCAATTCACTTGTCTCCGAACTTGTCTCATGCGATATTGAACTTTGTAGTTTTAAAGTATCTCGTGTGTTTTATAATTGAAGTAAATAAGGTAAACAATTGTTGAAGTAAATAAGGTAATATAGTGTGAGAATGTAGTAAATAAGGTAATAAATTGTGAGAAGGTAGTCAATAAGGTAATAAATTGTGAGAAGGTGGTGTGAAAATATTTAATGCAAAATGTTTCTCTTTTAATATATAAGGGATTAAACAAAGGAGAAGATGAAGCTTGAGTGTGGTAACAGGGAATCAGATTCGTTTCATAGCCTTTGGTTCTGTTGTTGATCAACTGAGATTAGATAAAGTTAAAAAAGGAAATTAACTATATCAGCGAAGACGATAAACTCAAAATGAAAAAATCAAAATCCCAACTGTATTATTATAACCAAAACAACAGAAGAGATCACTCTTAACAGAAGCAGTGCCTCTCTATATTTTTGTATCTGTTTTTCATCAGGATAGACATACTCTTTATATATATGTTTTCTTTAACAATTTTCCAAACAAAGTCTCTGCACATAACATGATTATCATATATCTATGTAACTTGTGTGGATCACACTTGTTCCTCTTTCTTACCCTATTCATTTGATCTGTGCTTTGGAATGCTGCATCTGCTGCTCTTGTAACTGGCTAATGCTTAGCTGCTGAAACATCTCTGGGCTTAGTGTCGTCTTTGATTCCCTGCTGCTGCCACTTTGCCTGCGACTCGGCTCACCTATCACCATCTTCAGTCGCTGGACTTCTTCAGTCAGCTTCTCAGACAAAGCTGCACAAGAGAGAAAACGGGTTTTCTTGTTTATAGCCGTTATGAATCAGGCAGCTCTAAGGGTAAACAAACAAAAGACAAAAGGTACTACTTGTCTAGGAGAAGTGAGTTAATGGACAAGGATCACGATATTCCCAGGGGGAAGAAGATTTAAAGCTTTTCATAGAGGCCTATTTCAGATCTTAAGGATGAACAATTTTTGCCAAAATCTATGCCAAAAATAGAAAGAAAAAACGTTGTTCCTACTTAAGGCTGGGGACTTGGTTCTATCTATCTGAGTTTGAATATAAAACAACGGTAAAGCAACCTCTAATATAATATAATATAATATAGCGTACGTACCATCGCGGAGTTGTGCCTGCTGCTCCATAGCTTGAAGGCGGAACTTGAGCTCATTGTTCTGGTTCGTCAACCCCATTGAATCTCTCTGAACCGTCCAAATAAAGTAATATAATAAGACTAGCGAGACCTATTCAAAAATAGGACAGTTTGTGGGTTGTGTGTGTATTCTCACCTGCAAATGCGTAAGCTGAGCAGATAATGTAGTGGCCTCAGTCTGTAGGGTCTGCACCTTGTGTTCTAACTCTGCCATGTATTGCGTCTTCCGCTCCTTTGAACGTGCAGCAGACACACGGTTTGCCAATATCCTTTACAAAATTGTTTAAAAACAAACACTCAATAACAACAACAACAAGGCTGAAATGTCACCACTATTTATATTATATTACCTTTTAACACGCTTAGGGTCAGTCATTACAATCTCAGCCAGTTTCTCATCTGCTGAGATCTTCTTCATCTCAGCCGCAGTAAACTCACTGTTTCCAAATTCGACACTCGAGTTCCCTTCAGCAGAATTAGTTGGGGAAGCTTTCACCGGAAGCTTAAGCGATGATTCATCACCACCACCAAAGTCCAATTTCCCCATGAAACCACTATCCATAGAAACACTCCTGTAGTGTCTAATACCAGTGGGAACAATGTCACCACCTGCTCTCCTCTTAACCCCTGAAGAAACCACCTTCACATTCTCACTGCTCTCTCCTTCAGAGTCACTACTGGTTCCACCACCATTGGTCTTCCTAGTGCCACTACTCTCCATCTCAGCCTCATTACCTCCTCCAAAAGAAGAGTTCAACACATCAATGTTATCAAGATTCATATACGCCTTGAAAATATCATCCATAGCTTCACTCTCAGATTGTCTTCTTCCAGGCTCTTCCTTGACCCAATTTGAAGCCTCTCCTCCGGAGATGGATCTCTCCAGAGACCTCGAAGGGATCAAAGGAGGCGACATCGAACTAAACCCGAATGTAACATCGCTGTTGGAACGCCTATGAGACTTTCTCGGAGGTAGATTCTCTCCATCTCCTCCGCGGCTGCTGATCCTAGAGGTGGAATGACACATGGTGAACGGCGACGGAGGCAGAGAAGGGCTGAACACTGCGTTGGTTCTCTCATCTACCGACGGGGGAGAAGGGTTTAAAGGCGGGAGGGAGTCGAAGGAGAAGAAGGAAGAGGGCTGCGAGGTGGAGCGGGAGTGTTTGAGTTGTAAGGTGGCAGGGATCTGAGAATAGGGAGGAATATGAGGAGGAGGTGCGGCGTTGAAAGGCGGCTGTGGGAAGTGGTGGTGGTTGGAGGGGATGAGAGGTGGCTGTTTTGGGATGGAGGATGAAGAATTAGGTCTTTGATGATGCATCATACTAGTTGTATCTCTCCCACTTCCACCTCCCATGAAATCTCCAAAAACCCTAAATGTTTGGGGTGAATAGGTTTTCACAAACACTAATTGACTTTCCTGAATCGAAACAAGAGATTAGTAAATGAATGAATATTGAATGCGAATCTTTCTTTCTTTCTTCTTCTTCAATGGGGCAACAGAGGCTTCTCTTGCAACGTTGACCAAACTCCAAACTCAATCAATCATCGACTGGTCGGAAAAATGGAACATCCCAGAACACCCACTTTCGTCTCTTTTTTTTCTTTTCTTTTTCTTTTTTCTTTTGTTTTTTAATCATTTGGATAAATACAAAAGGACCCAGTCTTTTACTCAAATTATGAAACAAGACTCTTTTCTTTACTCAACCGAATAAAATAAAAAGACATTACAAAGGGTGATCACATTTGTCTGAATATTTTTTCAAAGCTTTCACCTTTTGCATAATTCATTTAAAAAGAAAAAAAAAAACTCAAAACAACATCTTTTTTTTTTTTTGATAAAAGGGAAAAACAACTTAATTAATAATATATATAAATAAATATACAAATTCAATCAATCATCGATACCAATTAACCACCACTTCCTTGGATCAATGATCATCATGCATTTCTTCATTCGATATTATAATCTGTCATCCCCTGCTCTTGAAACTGCTGGTTGATGTTGAGTTGGTCCGACATGTTTGCGTTCATACGCTCACTTTCCCTCTCCTGCGGTATTCGTTCAACTCTTCTCTTAGTTTACGCGCCTCTTCTCTTTGCCGATTTGCCTCTTCTCTTTGCCCATTTGCCTCTTCTCTTTGCCGATTTGCCTCTTCTCTTTGCTGACTCGCCTCTTCGGTTAGACGATGCAATTCTCCAGTCAAGTGTACATTCAAGGCTTTCGAGTCTGCAACGTATCACGGTAATATACATCATTAAAAAATCTTATATTTACACCTTTCTTTAGTAATGAAGATATATAATATATGAGTAAGAAAGATCTAGCACTTAAAGTTATTATCTATCTGGTTCAATGCATAGTAACCGGCATCGTTATAACTACCCCTTGTTTTTTTATTCTGAGAATAATTAAGATGTATATTAAATGTAACAAATGTATATGAACAAGCTTAAAGTTGTTTCCGCAACTGGGTATCAGATCATATCTGACATTCTCACAACAAATCACTTGCTGGTATCGACAAGAATTTAATTAAAGATGAGAGTACCATCACAAAGTCGTGCCAGATCATCCCTTCCTTCAAGACGAATCCTCATTCGCGCGCACTCGTCAACAGCCGCCATTCTTTCTCTCTGCATGCAATAACAATGTATATATCAAGCTTTAATTAACAAAACTCGTTCTAATGACAAGTAGGATGGTTGCTAACGTGACTATATATATATATATATATATTGTACATGTGATCATATGTATATGTCTCACCTTCTCACGTTCGAAATTGGCTCTCAAGTTGGAAATACACAGTTCCTTCCTTTGCTTTGAGCGTGCAGCTGATTCCCGGTTTGCCAAGGATCTGAAAAAATCATATATGATCACATGTACAATATATAAATGTCACATAACATATATACAATCTAGTTAAGTAAGGAGATTGGATTACCTTTTCTGACGCTTATTACGCTCAGTTTCTGCCTTTTTCTTTAGTTCGTCATTGAAGGAAATCATATTCACTTGATCTGCAGGAAACCCGCCTCCGTAAGCATTTTTTTTGAGTTCGTCATTGGAGGCAATCATGTTCACTTGATCTGCAGGAAACCCGCCTCCGTAAGCAGCATTATCGTTCCCCACATTAAAGGAAACACCCTGAGGAGGAGGTGGAGGTGCGTCATTGACATTGGACACCCCATTAAAACTACTATCAAGTGAAACACCAGCTATTTCTTTGCCTGCTCTTCTCTTATTCCCAACACTTTTCTTTTGGCTTCTCAGGCCAACAGGCATCTCCACTGGCTTCGGGTAGGTGCCACTTGAAGGATTGTTCCCAGCCAACAGTGAATTCAACGTTGATATGAAATTATCATCATCCATCCTCGGCGGCAGACCACTACCGACCCCCATCAAGTACGGAATCGGAGAGACCTCCGTCGCATCTTTGTTCACCACGGGTGATGGCGGAGAATAGCGGAGCGACGACGAGGAAGGCCTCAACGGCGTCCCTGGGAGGACAGACCCCGGCATACCACCGCCTGAGCCTTCCGCGGAGGAGTTACGCATCGGAAGGGGAGGGCGTGCCGTTCCTTTGTTGGCCACCATTGCTGAAGGAGAATATCCGAGCGGCGGGCTCGACCGCGGGAATGCGAAAAGAGACGGCGACGGCTGAGAGAAGGTCAACCCGTTCTGGAATGTTGGTGGGCGTGAGGTTCCGCGAGGCGGGTATTGGGTTGCATCGCCAAAAGGAGTGGTCGGGTGTTGGGTGGGACCGGAGTATGAAGGAGGAGCGTGACCGTCCATAGTCTCTGCATTATATCGGAGTTAGTCTCTATCACTCTTTTTGTTTTTACGATAACCAAATAAAAATTACGATAGATGACGGCGGAGAAAAGTTTGCGATACACATATATACATATAACCCTTGAGAAAACCCTAGCGTGCTATACATGGCTAGAATCTTAAAAGGTTAAAATCCAGATTCAGTGAAGGAGTGTGTAATCATCAGCTGGTTTATTGAGAAAGAAAAAACACTGAAGCCTTTGAGTGAGAATATATCTGATCGAGTTTTTCTATTAAAAAAAAATCTTTATTTTATATATACCTGAGCTAGGGAGATTACTCCTTAGATGGTTTATGGCTTTCGAAAATGATTTTGTTGGATGATCGATCCTTGCATGAGGCTACCTCTATTTATACTGTTAATATCGGAAAATAAATAAAAAGACAAAAAAAAGAAGAAGACAATTTAGGAATCAGTTGGCTAGGAGACCAAATATATGATTTAGTCATCATTCTGGCCCCACATAGTTTAATTGTAATCAACGATTATTTCCCTCCATCAAGATTCTACTTAATTTACTCACCAGTTATTTATATTTCAAAAAATATAAATCAATGTTAAAGGATGCATTTATCAATGTTTTTGCTTCCGTTTATGTTGGATTCTAAAATCTATAAAATCATTCATCTGTTTCATTGATAAGACTATTGGTAAAACTATAACCGTTGCAAAATTCTTTTAATTTTCTTCGCTGCTTCGAAAATTTGTTGAAGTAAGGTTCTCTAGTCTTACAATACATTTTAATTGACTTCTATGCTCTTGTGCATACTAACAAAAGTTGCAATTTGTAAATCAGCTATTCAGGGAATATAATCAACATACCTCATATTGCTAGAATATGCTTTAACTCTGTAAACTTCTATATAGATATATATCTATATATGTTGACCACAAAAAAAGAAATATATATATAGAGAGAAAACACTTCCATATATAAAACTTCTATAAAACTAGCTATAGGTAATAAGGTCAGCCAATTATCGAGCACCACGTGTAGTATGTTTCTTCTTTGTACCAATCATTTGCAAGTAATAGATTTCATTATAAAAGTAAAGGTGTTTATCTTCAATTAGGAGTGGTATGTAGCAAATAATATCATAATTTTTAGAATTTGTGATTTGATTCATATTTTACAAATATCTAATTTTATTTGGTTTGCTACAGAAAAATACAGATATCTATTTTTTTAGATATTCTATAAAATTTATGAATATTTACGAATATGTAAAGATATTTACGAATATCTCAATCAATTTGTTTATACAAGTACATTCAGAAAAATCTATACAATTTATTTTCATAAATATAGTTTACGTAATATAAACAAAAATAAAAGTAAAAATTAGTGAAACTATATGTTCCATTTTTTTTTTAAATTAAGTAACCTTTTTATACACAATTTTTTTTTAAATTGTAATTTTATAAAGATTTTCTACTTTTTTCTTTTTAATTAATTATATGTATCTTTTGATAAAATTAATAAAATTGTATGTTAAAATAATAATTATATAAAATTATACATTTAAAATTTATATTTAAATGTAAATTATTTATTTTTTATATAAGACATAGCATAATAAAATTTTGGGAAATTATCCTAAATAGCCTTATTTAAGTTTTTGTCCAAAATCTAACCCTTCAAATTGGAAATCAGAAAAATAACATTCATTAATGGGTCAAAAGACAAGACTCTCCTCAAAATATCAATAACAATAAACCATAAGTATTAATTTTTCCACCTTTCAATTTTGTCGTCGTCATCTCTTCTGACGTCGTCATCTCTTCCGACGTTACCCTCTTCTCTTAACGTCGCCGTCGCCATCTCCTCTTGACGTCGTCGTCGACAGAAACAAATTAGAAAGCTGAAGAAAGGAACATCAATCAGAAGTTTTGTTCTCCATTCTCTGAATCTGAGATCTATATAACTTCTCTCACCTGTATTTTTGTTTTAAAATTTTCAAATTCAAAAGGAATGAAGAAGAAGAAAAAGATGAAGGACCTAAACAAAACTAAGAGATCTCAAGGGCTTTCTTCATTTTCCTGTAAATCTCACAATCTCTACAGTTTCATATTATCGTTACTGTTTTTTTTCCCTTCAATTTGAACTGATTAATCTTCATCATAGAGATGATTTCTAACGGAAATTGAAAGAGGCAAACCTAACAACAAGTCATTCACTGCTATAAGTAACTCCTGAGATTCCACAATCTCAAAACTGTGAATAACACTAGGTTGGTAAGGTTGCTGGAGCTAAATGAGAGTCTATGAGTAATGAAGTGAGTACTGTGCCGTTGAAAAGAGTTCATCTTTGTTGATTGAGCTAAAACAACCTACAACTTTTTGATTGTTTGAATGTGTACCACAAAGGAAAGCGTCCTATGCTTCCAAGGCAAAGAGAAAAAAAAGTAAATTTGTTAAGAGTATGCAACAATGCAACATGAAACTGATAATAAAAATCTGAACTTTGACTTTCTAAAGAGAAAGAGATTGCGGGTATTCTTATGGTCTTCTTACTGTAAACTTAAGAGACCTCAAATGCTCTTTGTTATTCCAGAATCAACTTATCTTGGTTGAAAATTAATATATGTGTCTATCTGTTTATCAAGGTTTTTAGTTTGATCTTATTTTTTTCATTGAAATTAGACAACTTACGGGTTTTGATTTTAGTGTGTTTATATCTGTCTTATCTAGTCATGAGCTGTGATGACAAGTTTTTTCTCCATGTCATTGATATGAATAAAAACATGTTTTTATTAACAGTAAGTATTGTGTTTTAGCCACTAGGCTATGGTGGATCCTTGATTTTATCAGAACAAAAACATGTTCTATTAACAGCTACATAAAACATGTATATGCTCAATCCTTGTTTAAATTTTCTTTTTTTTAAAAAGTAATTTAGGAAGTTTTATTACATATTCATGATAGTCTTCCTCATTGGTTTTCCATTTGCAGAAGGAGACAGAGACGCAAACTGGCACTCGAGCTTTTTCTTCAAGTTTGACACAACACATATATGGTCAATCTTTGTTTAAGTTTTCTTTGTTTAAGTAATTTAGGAAGCTTCCTCCCTGATTGTTTTTGTACTTGCGGAATGAAATAAACTGATCGAATGAGACTCCTTCCAAACATGGTAAACCCATTCCAAATCAAGTAGGCGAATCAATCGACGATGAAGTAAGATTTTTTTAAAGTTGAATGTATTTTGGAAGAAAAGAATATTGATCTTCAAAATCCTTATAAATATGTTTTTCAAAGATATTACAGAGCCTATGATAGAGATGTTTTCACAAACCATTTTCAGAAACAAAGGTATGCTTCAGTTTAGGAATGATTACATTTTCAGGATTCCATTACTGATTTATTGTTAAACTTGTATTGTAGAGTAGTTACATTTTTTTTACAATTTTTCTCTTATCTTAGAGACTGAGACACATATTGGAGCTCAAGTTCTTTCCCCTAAAACACAGGTTGAGGATTACACACCTACCTTTCCAATGTCTCCACTAGTTCTTAATGAAAGTCAAAATACCGAGAATGTAAGAAATTATATTTAAAATGTTTTACTATTTATCTACTAAATCTCTTATAATTTTTTTTTTTTGTGTGTTTACAGACTGAGACACATACTGGATCCCAGTTCTTTCCCTTAATGTGATGCAACATCTATGCTCATATCTTGTTTTGCTAGGAGTTTTCAAATATTTAAGAAGCTTTTGAACATATTTAGGAAAGCTATGATGAATAGTTCAAAAGAGAACATGTCAAAGATTAACAATGACAATACACGGAAATTAAGGAGAAACCTATCTTGTGAGATCTTTAACAAGTGTGTGAATGAAAACTTTGGACACTAAAAAAGATGCAGCAGATGTTTGGAACTTTTTTTTATTTGACTAAAACTTATGCTTCCGGAAACACAGTTTTATTCGATTAAAAAAATATGAAAAGTCCGATTCTGAGGGGAATCGAATGTCAATTTATGTTTTAGTCAGACCAATTATCGAGCACCACGTGTAGTGGTTTTTTTCTTTGTATCAATCATTTGCAAGTAACAGATTTCATTATAATACTCAAGGTAGTTATCTTCAGTTAGGACTGGTACGAAGCGAATAATATCATAACTGTTACTATTTGTGATTTGATTCATATTTTACGAATATCTAATTTTATTTGGTTTTCTATAGAAAAATACAGATATCAGGAAAATTTATGAATATTTACGAATATGTAAAGATATTTAAATATCTCAATCAATTTGTTTATAAAAGTAAATTCAGAAAAATCTATGCAAATTTATTTTCGAAAATATATTTTAGGTAATATAAAAAAAATAAAGTAAAATTAGCGAAATATATGTTCCACATTTTTAAAAATTAAGTAACCTTTTTATACACAAATTTTTTAAAAATTGTAATTTTATAAAGAATTTCTATTTTTTCTTATTTTAATACTTTATATGTATCTTTTGATAAAATTAATAAAACTATATGTTAAAATAATAATTATATAAAATTATACATTTAAAATTTATATTTAAATGTAAATTATTTATTTGTATATAAGCTAGAGCATTATAAGATTTTGGGCAATTTCCTAAATAGCCTTTTTTAAGTTTGTGTCCCATTCTAACCTTTCAAATTGGAAATCAGAAAAATAACCTTCACTAATGGATCAAAAGACAAGACTAATCTCAAAATATTAATAACAAAAAACCATAATTATTAATTTTTCTACCTCTTAATTTTGTCGTCGTCATCTCTTCCGACGTCTCCGTCTCCTCTTGACGTCGTCCTCTTCTCTTCACGTCACCGTCGCCATCTCCTTTTGATGTCATCGTCACCAGAAACAAACTCGAAATCTGAAGAAACAAGCATCGATCAGAAGTTTTGTTCTCCATTCTTTGAATCTCAGATCTATATAACTTCTCTCACTTGTATTTTCGTTTTGATTTCTTCAAACTCAAAAGGAATGAAGAAGAAAAATAAGACGAAGGACCTAAACAAAACTAAGAGACATCAAGTGCTTTCTTCATTTCCTGTAAATCTCACAATCTCTTCAGTTTTTTATTACTGTCACTGTTTTTTTTTCCAATTTCAACTGATTAATCTTCATCATAGAGATGATCTCTAACGGAAATTTAATGAGGCAAACCTAACAACAAGTCATTCACTTCTATAAGTAACTCCTTGAGGTTCCACAGTCTCAAAAGTGTGAATAACATCAGGTTGGTAAGGTTGCTGGAGCTAAATGAAATCTATGACTAAGGAAGTGAGTATTGTGGCGTTGAAAATGGTTCATCTTTGTTGATCGAGCTAAAACAACCTACAAATTTTTTGATTGTTTAAATGTGTACCACAGAGGAAAGCGTCTTCTGCTTCAAAGAAAAAGGGCAAAAGAAGTAAATATGTTAAGAGTATGCAACAATGCAACATGAAACTGATAATAAAAATCTGAGCTTTGACCTTCTAAAGAGAAAGAGATTGTTGGTATTCTTATGGTCTTCTTACTGTAAACTTATGAGACCTCAAGTGCTCTTTGTTATTTCAGAATCAACTTATCTTGGTTGAAAATTAATATATGCGCCTATCTGTTTATCACGTTTTTTTAATTTGATCTTATTTTTTCATTTAAATTAGATAACTTGTGGATTTTGATTTTAGCGTGATATATCTGTCTTATCTAGTCATAAGCTGTGATGACAAGTTTTTTCTCCATGTCTGTTTTTATTAACAGTAAGTATTGTGTTTTAGCAACTAGGCTATGGTGGATCCTTGATTGTATCATAACAAAAACATATTCTATTAACAGCTACATGAATAAAACATATATATGTTCAATCCTTATTTAAATTTTCTTTGTTTAAGTAATTTAGGAAGCTTAGTACATATTCATGATAGCCTTCTTAATTGGTATTGCATTTGCAGATTGAGACAGACACGCAAAATGACACTTGAGTTTTTTCTCCTAGTTTGACCTAACACATATATGGTCAGTCATTGTTTAAATTTTCTTTGTTTAAGTAATTTTGGAAGCTTTAGTACATGTTCATGATAGCATTCCTGATTGTTTTTGTACTTGCAGATTGAAATAGACCGATCGGATGAGACACATTCCAAACATGGTAAACCCATTCCAAATCAAGCAGACGAATCATTCGACGATGAAGTAGGATTTTTTTTTTAATTTTAATGTATTTTGGAAGAAAAAATATTGATCTTCAAAATCTTTATAAATATGTTTTTCAAAGATATTACCGGGCCTATGACAGAGATGCTTTCACAAACCATTTTTAAAAAATTCACTTACTTAGTCAATCACCAAAGATTTTTTAGAAACAAAGGTATGCCTCAGCTTAGGAAGCATTATTACATTTTCAGGAATCCCTTACTGTTTTTTTTTTCTTTTAAAATTTGTATTGTAGAGTAGTTACATTCTTTTACAATTTTTCTCATATCTTATAGAGTGAAACACATATTGGAACTCAAGTTCTTTCCCTACATACACAAGTTGTGGATTACATACCTACCTTTCCAATGTCTCCACTAGTTCTTAATGAAAGTTAAAATACCGAGGAGGTAAAAAGTTATATTTAAAATTTTATTATTTATCTACTAAATCTCTTATAAATTTTCTTGTGTTTTACAGACTCAGACACATACTGGATACAAAGTTCTTTCCCTTAATGCGATGCAACACCTATGCTCATATCTTGTTTTACTAGGAGTTTCCAATAATTTAGGAAGCTCTTGTACATATTTAGGAAAGCTATCATGAATAGTCCAAAAGAGAACATGTCAAAGATTAACAATGACAATGAAAGGAATGAAAACTTCGGAATTAAGGAGAAACCTGTCTTGTGAGATCTTCGACCAGATTGTGGATGAGAACTTTGGACAATAAAAAAGATTGCAGTAGATTGTTGAAAATTTTTTTGTTCCAGAAATACATTTTTATTCAATTAAAAAAACATACAAAAGTCTGATTCCGAGGAGATTCAAACATGAGTTTAGCCGTGTCAGTTTAAAGTCTTGTCATAGTAGTGGTTTAGCAGCTAGGCTGAATAGAATCGTTTGTTTATACTAAACACATAAATGTATTAAACCGAAATTATATATTTTAAAATTAGGAAAGCATTAAGCATGTTTCAGGATGAGCTTCAGAATCACATTTTTATTCAATTAAAAATGGCAATTCTCTTAGATAGACATTTTTAAGTTTTTGTCACAAAAATAAACCTCAAAAAATAAAATGACCAAAATAGACCCTTTATTTTGAGATTAGTAATATTTATTTTTTATTTTTTAAAATTTGAAACCTTAAACCCAAAACTCCACCCCTTAACTGTAAACCCTAAGTCTAGATTATTTAATCCAAGAGTATAAGTGCATAATTACCCTTTAATAAAAACTTATTTTGGTCATTTTCTCCTTGAATGCTATTTTGTGAAAATAAACTAAAAAGGTCTATCCAAAGAAATTTCTCTTAAATAAACATAAAAAGTCAGATTCCAAGGGGAATCGAACATGGGTTTAGCTGTGTCAGTTTAAAGTCTTGTAAGAATAATGGTTTAGCCGCTAGGCTGAAAATAAATGGGAGCAAATCTAATATTTTGAAAACAAATGTGAGTAAATCTAGAAGAAAATATTTAATATTAAAACTTGAATATTATTTAACAGAGATTATGAAAACTTAATAAATACGTAGCAAATTTAAATATATTTCTTCAAACAGATTTAAGCTCAACATATAAATTGAGAACCGAAAACCAAACTAAAGTGGAACAAGAGAAAACAAAGCCAAACAAAAAAAAATGAATCAATATTCACAAATATTTGACCATTCCATATATCTCTGAAATAGAAAAAAGGAAACCAAATCGAGTACCGAATGAATACTCTGATATCCAAAATACAATTTATATACCTAAAAATATTAATTTTATTTAATTTTATATTATCAAATACTCTAAAAGTCTTAATCAAAAACAAACCTATCCAAAAACCAGACTATTCTATTAGTTTTTATTCGAAATATTTAATTTATCCTAATTTCTCTGTATAACTGAATCACCCAATTTTTTTTTCAAATATTTAAATTTATTCGATATTTAGATCTAGAAATCCAAAATGTGATTTTTACCAAATTAGTTGAGATTATTTAATGCGAGGAACCAAACCAGTACTGAATCAAACTCGAATTTTTATCGGGTTCCTAACATCGTCATCCAAACTAAATCAAAAACCAAAATAAAAAAAAAATCAAAAACCAAAGTCAAGTTTATAAATAATTGAATGGTTTCTATATTTTTTTGAACACAAAAACGGAAAACCACAATAGAACTGAACTGGAAAAAAAAAACAATTTGAAGCAAATACAATTTGAAGCCAAACCTATAATCGGATGCAGGCTACACATATTAATGAATATAAAAACGGATTAATGAATTTGTCAACAAAAAATAACCCATATTTTCAAAACGCGGATCAAAATCTAGTTTTATATATTACAACATAAGTCATGACTTCACTTCATATGTGACTTTATTTTTTTAATTTGGACCATCACTTAGAAATTTTATTAAATGTATTTTATTAAAACTAATAATATATAGAATCTTTAAAATATTTTAATCATAATATTTTTTTAATATTTTGAATTTTAAATATAAATTATTTACAAATTCTAACTAACCTGTTTTAAAAGATTGTAATAAGATCTTCAATTTTGATAGTATCTTATTATACATTAATATATTCAGTTAAAGTTTATAAAATGAAAAAATATCATTTTATGTATTATATAATCATAATCAATCATATTAAAAAATTATTATATTGAGCTAAATATAATAAAATTTTATTAAATTGATAAATTTATAAAAAAATTATTTTCGTAAATATAAATTATTTTAAAAATATAATATGATGACATAACGACTTAAAATTAGCAAACTATATAATACGTAACATATCTTAAACTTTTGTATATACAATAATATATTATATAAAATGAATAATTTTAAAAATATTGGTAAAATAAAATTCAACTTTGAAAGACGGGTCAGAATTCACCATAAATTAAATAAAAACTAATTTTCAAATATGTGTTTCCCATGAATATATTAATTTTCTTAATAACTAAATGCAAATACAATAAAATGAATATATAATAAAAATGACAAACAATATTGTTTTAAATAATTGGTTAATATAACATGTAAATTATAAAATTCTAGTATTAAATTAATTATATAAACATTTTAGTACATGATTAACATTAAAACTATATACCACTTATGTTCTAAGGAAAATATTTATGTATATAAAAATGAAAACAAACATCTGCGTGATTGTGCGGATCAAAATCTAGTTCGTTTTAAAATCAAAACATATTCAAACTATACAAAGCATATTTGGATTAACCATACACAAACAAAACCTTAACTTAGTAACAAGAATAAAATAGTTGTAGACCGTGGAGGCTAGTTACTTGATAGTGATGTAGCGGTTGGTCCCGTGCCTAGCCCAATAGTCTTTTAGGTCAACATGAGACGAGAGATCATATCCTTCCCCTGCTAAATGGCTTAGTAATCTGGAGAAAACGTTTCCGCTCATTTTCCTACCACCCACCCGAGAATGCCTCTTGTTTGCCATCTGCGGTAATGGATACTGCGACAAGGTGGTTGTGCAGCAAGAGGATTGCCAACCACCATTCCCCCATTTGTAACACTGATGTGCAGAGCCTGTGCATGTGCAAACCGGCACGGGCATAGTCTTCTCATCGAAGGTGACTAAGTTTAAACCGAAATGGTTAGTGTCCCAATCTTTTTTACATTTCTTTCCAGGAGCAGCAGCAGCAGCAACTAGAAGGTTCAGATCTTCACCCACTTTCTTTCCTTTTGGTAGTCCTTGCTTGCTCCTCTTTTTCCTTTTGGTAGTAGTTGATGTAGTAGGGCAGACATCATCAATAGTGAACAACAAGCCATCATCATCATCATGGCCTTGACAGCGTTTCCCACCGGACAAAGCAAAGTTAAGACTGTTTTCATGGTGTTGAAGGGCAGCAAAAGCATTGTCCCTCTCAATCAAAGCTTTATCTCGTTCGGTCAGGGCCTTGTCGCGTTGCTGGAGGGCTTGGTCTCGAGCTGCAAGAGCTTCGATTTTAGCAGAGACGGCTTGGTTTCTTTCGTGAATAGCAGCGTCTCTTTCGGCGAGGATGGACATGATCTTTTTGTTCATGACCAAGGCATTGTGTTGCTCTTTGATCTGATGGTGAGGCAGCATATTCCACTGCATACACACACACACACACATTGGTTGTCCATCAAGAGTAAGAAGGATTTGAATTTAAAAAAAAAGAGAGTTGGGATTTTACCATAGAGTGTGCGCCTTTCAAGTAATCAGAGCCAGTTTCATACTGCCCACCCTTCTCCATTCTTCAAAAAAGTCAATAAAATGATAGTTTTGTCTGAAACAAGAGTAAGAATTAGAAGTAGCAGAAACATAATCAATCCAACATCTGTGAGATTTTTCCACTTACTTTTTTCTTCTTTTTTACCTTAAATCATGACTCATGAGTCATTTAAAAAAAATATAATTACATAATCAATTCCCAGATAGGGATCGATCATCAGCATAATAAATCTAAATACGCCAGAAAACAGGATACGGATAGTGTAGAATTGAATCAATCTATAAACCTTTGCGCCCTAAAACAATCAGAAATTGAAGATGTACAAAATCCCAAGGAGAAATACTTTCAATACCCCGACCAGACTAATAACAAGATAAAAGGCGCGAAAGCTTACGAGCTTGTAGAAGAAGGAGGCAAATGGATATATTGATTGAGAAAGAGATCTCAGGCAGGGAGAAGGAAGATGAGTGTCGAATGACGAGAAGAAGCAGAAAGAAAGAAGGGGAGCTCAATACTTGTCATATTTTACTAACATGCCCTCATCTCTAAAGGACAACCTTGTCTTTTCCAAACGTATCTTCCATTTGTGGAAAATCAGAATCTGTTTTAACAATGAGACTTCATATAATATAATAAGCTTCACTACAACCAATTCAGAATGTGAATGTCCCGGTGGTGAATCTATGCTTTCTCCTCGAGAGATACAAGAGCGTGTGATCATCATCATCATCATTCAAGCGTACAGATTTTTACGGTACTTACTGCCATGCTTTTCATCACCGCTTTCCTCAGTTCCTAATCGAAAACCTTAAAAAACTCATTAGGCTTCGATGTCTTTGGTATCACCACTGTTGTTCCCCACCTCAGCACTACCTGTGCCACTGTCTTTTTGTACTTCTCCGCCACTTCCTGTATTGATTCGAATCAACAACAAGAAGATAATTCAGTACTTTTTTAAAACTGTCATTTGTTCAGATCTTTTTAACTGTTTCAGCCTACTAAAACAGAAAAAAAAATTTGTTAAGATATTTTGTGAAAACTTGAACGCCATATCCCATCATTACAATATTTAGATGATTGTCCTTCAGTGTAAGCCTCATATACCTATACCAATGATGAGGCCAAACACATAGAAGCAAGCTTTTCAATGTATGTCTCCAGATATATAGGACCCCGTTATCCCATCCAAATGAGTCACCTCGATGAAGGTAAGAGTTTTGTTCGTTTAGATATTAAAAATACAAATCATTTGGATGGTTCATCTGAATTTATAAAATTATAGGTTAAATTTTAAAATCTATATGGATAAATCAATTTGGATCATCTCGATGTATATGCTTATGTCAAAATGGCACATTGTCTATTATACCCTATATATAATTTACAAATCACAAATCTAAACCTAAAATCATTTTGTAACACTAAAACCGAAAAATGTTTTTTGCCAAAATAAAAAGTGTGTTTTTCGCCAAAACCAAACACAAGTTTTTTCGCCAAAATCGAAAAATATATTTGTTCCGACAAAACCGTAAAACGCGTTTTTTCCACCAAAACCAAAAACGTGTTTTTCTCGCCAAAACCGAAAAACGTGTTTCCCTGCCAAAACCGAAAACACGTTTTCTCCGCCAAAACTAAAAACCCGTTTTTTCCGCCAAAATCGTAAAAACGTGTTTTTCCCACCAAAACTTTAAAAACGCGTTTTCCACCAAAACCGAAAACGCGTTTTCTCGTTAAAACTGATAACATGTTTTTCCCGCCAAAATTGAAAACATGTTTCTCGCTAAAATATGTTTTTTTGTCAAAACCGTAAAAACATATTTCCCGGAAAAATATATTTTTTGCAAAACGCGTTTTATTTCCAAAATCGAAAATGCATTTTTCGCCAAAACTGCAAAATACATTTCCGTGTCAAAAACAAGTTTTACTGCAAAACATAGTTTTTGCCAAAATCACAAAACGCGTTTTCCCACAAAAAACGAAAAAGCCAAAATGTCAAAATGCTAAGTTTAAAATAATCTCAATGTATATATTTTAGACTAAATGATAAATTAGTATAGTTAAAATTAATATCAAACATATGATTAATCAAGATAAGAGTATATTTGTAATTTGTTCATTAAACCCATCTGGATGGAAATAGAAATAAAAAAGAAACGAACATGAAATTCATTCAGATGGCTCATCTGGATGGAGAAATGAACATCCTCTAAAATCTAAATGAATCTTCTGAGACAGAATTTTCTTTGTTCTTTTCAAAGAAGGCAAAGTCGATCAATCTACTGCAATTATGAAAAGTCACATAGAGAAGCCTTTTGTTTTCAGATGAGTGGATTTCAAAAGATGGCAACAAAAGATGTTGTTTTATCGACACTGAATCTGGCTCGGTGCTTGACTTTTGAAGGACCAGAGTTACCTGTAGGTGATATTCCTGATGAAATAATTAAAGCTTCAGAGGCGCGGACACAAAACGAGTTTTTGTGTAAGAATTATATTCTTAACATTTTGGATGATTCTCTCTATGATGTTTATCAGATCGAGCTTGGAGGAGGAAGAATTAAAAATGAGATTTCGGATGAAAACCCAGACGCAGGAGAGAGAGAGACATAAATGGACGGTAAAATAGGAATGTGATACGTAAGGGTCTTTACCGACCCTAAAATCCCAGATTAAAAACTGGTTTTGTGTTTTCTTTCCCTTTTTCGTTTATTTTTTTCTCTCTTTTGTTTGGAATCCACTTTAAGAGGTGCCAATGGACGTGGTCTAAGAGATTTGAGAGAGAGTAAGTGACAGTACCAGCATAGTCGAGATGGCATTGATGGATAAGGTCTCGAATGCCTTTTTTCTCCATTGTCCATACTCCTAAACGACATCTTGTAGGCACTGTTGAGGGTTATCTCTATTCTCAGCTATTATTCTTCCTGATACTCTGATAGGGTAAAGATATGGTCAGTGAAGGATATAGACATAAGTCGTAGACCGGTTTAGGTTCAATTGGTTATGCATTGGTTATCAGCTGGTATAAGCGTTCGGTTAGTTAAATGTATTACTTCAATTGTACCGGCTCTCTCGATTAGAATATACATATGCGATTCGTGCTATTGTATCTAGTTAACCGGCTCGGTTTATAAGTGACGGTTGACTGGTTAGGATATAGGTGGTTAGGCTTAACTGATATAGGTAGTTAGATCAGTTACAAGCTTATCATCCTCGAGAGAGCTAAGGTCTGAGTTGTAGAGAAGAAGGTTCGGCTTGTGAACTCTTCGTTGAATCTAGTTGATTGCCGGTTCAATCCCGGCTCCGGAGAGATATAGCGGCCACGTCTAGTTAACGACGTGGTGCGGTGAACTCTGGGTAAACACATCACCGTGTTGGTTCGTGGTTCTTGAGGCAAAGGAGAAGATCAAAGTAATCAATCTTCACAAATTGGTATCATAGCGTAAGGTTTGAAGAAATCAAGATCGGCGATTCTCAATCTCTGAAGGTTGTTACGATTTCCTAAATCGAAAGAAGATTCAACAAGAAGGTATCGACGGCGATGGCGACTCGAAAGATGAAGATGAAGTTAACGCTCTCGATGTTCGACGGAACGGGAGACTTCGGGATCTGGAAGAAAAGGATGATGGCAAATCTAAGCGTACAAGGCTTAAAAGACGTCTTGATTCCAAAATCACAAGCTTTAGTGACTACGTAGACAGACGATGACGATGGCGATGAGGAAGAGATTCAGAAGAAGAAAGATCTTGAAGAAGTAGAAAGAGCTGAACGAGATGAGAAGGCTTTGAATATCATATTCATGGGGGTTGGGGATCATGTCCTCAGGAAACTCGATAAGTGTACTACAACATTGGAGGCATGGGAGTTTTTGAATAAACTGTATATGGCAAAGACCTTGCCTAATAGAGTCCACGCTCAACTCAAGGTCTACGCGTTCAGGATGCAAGATTCAAAGACTATCGATCAGAATGTCGATGACTTCCTCAAGCTTGTCACGAACCTGAACAACCTCAACATTGAGATTCATGAGGAAGTGCAGGCTATTCTACTACTCAACGCTCTGCCAAGCAGGTATGACTCTCTTAAAGAAACCTTGAAATATAGTAGAGAGGCTATTAGGGTGGATGAAATTGTTAGTGCTGCTAGATCTAAGGAATCGGAATATAAGGATTCATCCACTGCTAAGTTGAATGGGGAAGGTAACTATGTTAGGGGTAGGTCAGAGAGTAGAAGTAGAGTTTCTTTTGCAGGTAAAGACAAACACATGTCAAGATCGAAAAGCAGAGAAGGCAAAAGAGTTTGCTGGATCTGTGGTAAAGAAGTCCATTTCAAGAAACAATGTTACAAGTGGTTAGAAAGAAACAAGGATCATAAACATGGTCAAGACAAAGGAGAGGCAGCTCTGGTTAGGGATGATGCAAAAGATCTCGTTGGACTGTTGGTGGCTGAGGTCAATAGCGCTGAAGCAAACAGAGATGAGTGGATTCTGGATACAAGATGTTCATTCCATATGACTCCAAGGAGAGATGTTTTCATTGAGCTTCATGAGGTGATAACAGGAAGAGTCAGAATGGCGAACAGTACAGTGTCAGAGATTAAGGGTGTTGGCTCTGTTAGGTTTCAGAATTCAGACAGTACTACTTTCCTGCTACAAGAAGTGAGATACATGCCTGATATTTCCCGGAACTTGATATCTATGGGTACTCTAGAGGGAAAAGGATGTGAGTTTAAGGCTTCAAACGGTGTTCTTAAAGTGATTAAGGGATGCACTATGTTCATGAAGGGTATCAGAAGACAAGCGTTGTACATTCTTGAAGCTAAAGAAAAGTCAACAATCAATTACTGTGGTGAAACTAGTTCGGCTAAAGCTTCGGATACAGATATTGAAGACACTAAGTTGTGGCACAGCAGACTGGGGCATCTAGGGCAGAAAGGAATGAATGAGCTCATGAAAAGAAACTGTTTTGGCAAGGGTGAAGTAAAAGAATTGGGATTCTGTGAAGACTGCGTGATAGGGAAGACGCATAAGATCAGTTTCTCCCAAGCCAAACACGTAACCAAGGATAAGCTAGATTACATTCATTCGGACCTCTGGGGGTTACCTAATGTCCCTCCAAGCCTTAGTAAGAAGCAATACTTCATCTCCTTCATAGACGACTATTCAAGAAAATTATGGCTATACTTCTTGAGGTTTAAGGATGAGGCGTTTCAAAGTTTTGTAACATGGAAGAAGATGGTTGAAGTTCAGAGTGAAAGAAAGATTAAAAGGTTAAGAACAGATAACGGACTGGAATTCTGCAATCAGCAGTTTGATATTTTCTGTAGGGAGCATGGAATAGTGAGACACAGTACATGCACATATACACCTCAGCAGAACGGTATTGCTGAAAGACTGACCGGACAATAATGAACAAGGTTCGTAGTATGTTGAGTGAGAGTGGATTGGGAGTTATGTTTTGGGCTGAAGCTGCAGCCACAACAGTATTCTGCATTAACAGATCACCATCATCAGCTTTAGACTTTAAGGTTCCTGAAGAATTATGGACATCCCAGTTACCTGACCTCAGTAACCTTAAAAGGTTTGGATGTCTAGCATATGTTCACACAGTGGAAGGTAAGTTGCAACCAAGAGCTAAGAGAGGCATATTTACTGGATATCCCGAGGGTACAAAGGGGTATAAGGTGTGGCTTATGGACGACAAGAAGATGGTTATTAGTCGAAACATAGTCTTCAGAGAAGAGAAAGTTTACAAAGAGATTAAAGATGAAGTTGCTGATGAGAATGCAGAGACAAGTTCACAGAGTATCAGTCTAAAGTTGCTAGAAGAAAACACAGAAAATGGTCAGTTATCAGTGGAAGAGACTACAAATGTTCAGCAAAGTTCAAGTGAAGAAGAAAGTAACCCTACTAGTGCCGAATCTGTTCCTGAAGATTATCAACTAGCAAGGGACAGAGTGAGAAGAACTATCAGACCTCCTGCTAGACTTTTAGACTACGAATGTGAAGCAGAAGATGGAGAAGATCAATTTGCTTGCTACGTTGCTTTGCTGTCAGAAGATACTAACTCAGAACCGAAGTCATACCAAGAAGCAATGATGGATCCTGACAGTGATAGATGGCATCAGGCTGCATTTGAAGAAATGACTTCGTTAGAAGCAAATGAAACTTGGGAGCTTATAGACAGACCTAAAGATCAAAAGCCTATTGGGTGCAGATAGATCTTTAAAAGGAAAGCAGGCATCGCAGGAGTGGAAGCACCGAGGTATAAAGGGAGGTTAGTTGCAAAAGGTTATTCCCAAAAGGAAGGAGTAGATTATCAAGAGATTTTTGCTCCGGTTGTGAAGCATGTATCTATTAGATACATATTATCAGCTGTAGTGTATTTCAATATGGAGTTGCAAAAAATGGATGTCAAAACGGCTTTCCTCCATGGAAATCTTGAGGAATTTATAGTAATGGAGCAGCCAGAGGGATTTGTTGATAAGAGGTTTCCGGATAAAGTATGCAAACTGAAGAAAAGTTTGTATGGACTGAAACAAAGTCCAAGGCAATGGAATAAGAGGTTCGGTGATTTTGTTCGAGCTAAGGGTTACATCCGAAGTGAGTATGACTCGTGCGTATACTTCAAGAAGAATGCAGAAGGAGTGTACATCTACATGTTATTATAAGTAGATGATATACTAATAGCTTCGTGTGATAAAAGTCAAGTTCAGAAGTTAAAGGCTGAGTTAGGTTCAGAGTTTGACATGAAGGATCTTGGAGATGCAAAGAAGATCCTTGGTATGGAAATCATTAGAGACCTTTGGAAGGTATTAAGAAACTTCGAAATGGACCAGTGCAAGTCTGTTTCAACTCCTCTTGGAGCACATTTCAAGTTAAGGGTGGCTACAGATAAGGAATACAAGGAAGAGGAGGAGTACATGAAGAAAGTTCCGTATCAAAATGCAGTTGGTAGCATAATGTACTCGATGGTTGGAAATCGTCCTGATTTAGCTTATGTGGTAGGAATCATCAGCAGGTTCATGTCTAAGCCTGTGAAAGAAAATTGGCGAGCTGTGAAATGGGCTATGAGATATATAAAGGGTTCAGTGGACATCAAGTTAAGTTTCAAGAAGAAAGGAGACTTTGTGGTTAGAGGTTATTGGGATTCAGACTACGCATGAGATTTGGATCAAAGTAAGTCTACAACAGGGATGGTGTTCACTGCTGGAGGAAACTCTGTGAGTTGGAGATCATCACTTCAAAAGGTCGTAGCTCTATCAACCACAGAAGCAGAGTATATTGCCTTGTCCGACGCGGTTAAAGAAGGAATTTGGTTGAAGCGTTTTGCAGAGGAGTTGGGGTTTCCTCAAGACACGGTTGAAGTGTATTGTGACTCTCAGAGTGCAATATCATTTTCCAAAAATGCGGTCTTCCATGAGAGGACGAAACATGTTGCTACCAAGTATCACTTCATTCGAGATCTTATCAAAGTAGGTGAGGTACAAGTCTTGAAGATAGCAACTGCAAACAATCCTGCAGATATTTTTACAAAGGTGTTGCCAGTGCACACGTTACATGAAGCATTGAAGATGCTTCTTATCACTAAAGACTGATAAGAGGTTCTTGGAGTCCGGTTAAGGACTCAGGCATGAAGTTCGGTGAAGAACTTCAAGGAGGAGCACGAAATTGTTTCTCAAGGAGGAGTCAGGTAAATGATCTTCTCAACAGTTTTATTTTTCAGTTCAAGTTTGTTACTGAGGTTTCATCCGAGCTTGTGATGAGGATTCGACTTTGTCTAAGGAGGAGATTTGAAGGATATAGACATAAGTCGTAGACCGGTTTAGGTTCAATTGGTTATGCATTGGTTATCAGCTGGTATAAGCGTTTGGTTAGTTAAATGTATTACTTCAATTGTACCGGCTCTCTCGATTAGAATATACATATGCGGTTTGTGCTATTGTATCTAGTTAACCGGCTCGGTTTATAAGTGACGGTTGACTGGTTAGGATATAGGTGGTTAAGCTTAACTGATATAGGTAGTTAGATCAGTTACAAGCTTATCATCCTCGAGAGAGCTAAGGTCTGAGTTGTAGAGACGAAGGTTCGGCTTGTGTACTCTTCGTTGAATCTAGTTGATTGCCGGTTAAATCCCGGCTTCGGAGAGATATAGTGGCCACGTCTAGTTAACGACGTGGTGCGGTGAACTCCGGGTAAACACATCATCGTGTTGGTTCGTGGTTCTTGAGGCAAAGGAGAAGATCGATGTAATCAATCTTCACAGTCAGATTAATAGTTTGTGAGTCGAGTGTTTAGTTTAGTTTAATTGATCAAACAAACAAACTTGATGAGTCCTCAACAGTGCATAGCTAGGCCCAATGGGCCAACCAATAACAAAAGCTCTAATGGGCTAAGTAATATCGTACGATTTGCAGACTTGGACCAATACGCAGCGTATATAGTAGATAGAAGGAACGTGATCACCGATTCTTAAGTTAACTTTTGCTTCGGTGGTTGGGAAACACATCAAGTTTCGTTTTCACAGGTCGGTAGCCTCAATCGATTCATATCCCTCCAAGCTGTGGACTTTAGGGTTTCTAAGGATCTGTATCCGTTGTGAGTACTGGGTAGACAAGGTTTCGAATCCTAGATTGATTGATTATTGGAATCTAGGTTTTCTTATCTGCGGCGGTCTGATATTCGAATCTGAGGTCTTATTAAGTTAGCTAGAAAAGTCACCGACTTTGATTTTTCCACGCTCGATCGAAATTGGGGTTTTTCGATTCATCTTCTTCGGTTTATGATTGCCCTTTCACTCTTTGAATTGACTCGTGTCGTGTGTTATCTAATTTCGGTTTTAGGTTGGCGCTCTATTTATCTACCAAGCTAAGCATCTAAACTATGGTAAGTGTCCGAACAAAAGGTTTAATCTTCCAATCTAAGCTTTTAACAATCACTCACACCTCTAGTGTTGGTTGCAGTTTTTCGAAGGATACCATTATCATGGAAGTGGAACCACCTTTGAGCAGAGTTACCGCTGCTACCCTGCTTCTTTTATCGACAAGGTCTGTCTCTACCTTTGAACATCTGATTTTTCTTTTAATCTTTGATATCTTACTCAATGAATTATACATTGCTTGGCTTGCCATTTCTAGTTTCTAATTTCTTTTTCCTTTTCTCTTCCTTGCAGCCACAAATTGAAAGTGGTGACAAGAGTAAGGCTTCTACACACTGATCTCTCCTTCCCTTCTATCTTACTATTTTATATTGTTCAAATCTGACTTATGTTGTTTTAATCTATTTTAGTTATAATGCCACCATCAGCCCTTGATCGTCTCGGTATGTTCCTCTCTCTCTCTCTCTTTTCGATTTGGTTTAGTAACAATTTTCAGAGTCCTAATATTCGTGGAAACCTTGTTTGCAGCCTCTTTGCATATTGACTATCCTATGCTCTTTGAGCTTCGTAATGCTGGAAGTGAACGTGTTTCACACTGTGGAGTCCTTGAGTTCATTGCTGAAGAAGGCATGATCTACATGCCATATTGGGTATCTTTCACTTTCCCTTTCCCTTTTTTTTTTCATTCCTCACTTAAAAATATCATGCCTGCTGATTGTTTGCTACTTTGATATAAATCCAGATGATGCAGAATCTACTGCTCCAGGAAGGAGACATTGTGAGAGTTAGAAACGTCACTCTTCCTAAGGGAACTTATGTTAAACTACAACCCCACACTACTGACTTCCTCGACATATCCAACCCTAAAGCCATGTGAGTCCTCATGCACCTCTCTTTATTATCCCTTGCTTGTTCATTATTGTTGCTTTCTAGAAAGTTCTTGAAAGCATTTTCACGAACCTTGCAGCTTGGAGACAGCTTTGAGAAATTACTCATGCCTAACCACTGGGGATAGCATTATGGTTCCATACAACAACAAGAAGTACTTCATAGATATCGTTGAAACAAAGCCTGCTAATGGAATCAGCATCATTGAAACAGATTGTGAGGTTGATTTTGCACCTCCCCTTGATTACAAAGAGCCTGAACGTCCTGCTGTACCTGCTACAGCAGCTAAGGCTCTGGCAAAAGGTATGTATCGATGAAAGTAAAGTCATCACATGTAGTTGTAACTATTTGCTTCAAGTTTATAATGGGGTTTTCCTCCTTGCTAAAAATTCACAGCTGAGGAGGTTGAGGCTGAACCAGAACCAAAGTTTAATCCTTTCACGGGATCTGGAAGACGGTTAGATGGGAGACCTCTTTCCTATGAGCCACCGCCTTCTGCTGCTTCTTCCTCCTCCTCTAGCTCAAAAGACAAACAGCCTGCTGTTTCCAATGGTAATGGACAGTCATCTGGCTCAGAGAAAGCTGCTACTGCGCGGCAAGCTCAAGGAAAGCTTGTGTTTGGGGGCAACGCAAACCGTGCTCCGAAAGAAGCTCCAAAAGTACAAGATTAAACTTTTATTGATGAATGAGAAGCTGCAATGAAATTAAGAAGATAGATTACTTATGTTTGTTCTTTTCTTAATATTTCTTTTTTCAGGCTGGAGCTGGAAAGGAGACAAAGAAAGAGGAAGAAGAGAAGAAAGAAGAGTCCAAGTTCCAAGCTTTTTCTGGAAAGAAGTATTCATTAAGGGGTTGATCAACTCACGCAATCAATCTATTTATGATCCTCTCATGTTATGTGTATTATAATTACTAGTGCCTCGAATTAAACATGGAAACAAATAATTTAATAAAGCTCTCTGTCTTTCTTCTCTGATTTGATGAGAGAGAGAGAGAGAGAGAGATGGGATAAATCACTTGTTCTCTGTTGTCAGATTCAGTTGAACTTTCGTTCTCTGCTCTCTCAAGTTCTTACTGCATAAGAGAAGACTCTGAAATAACTTGTTGGCTGTCGAAGGGGTCTGTCTTTAACCAAGTTTCACCTATGAACTAAGAACAGTAGATGAGAAATATAAGTTATGTATTTGGAGATATATTTGAGTTAAGACATGTCTTCTTCTGAGTTATAATCTCTACAGTTCTGAGATTTCACTTGAAAACACTTGGACAATACATACATCGCCTCGAATTTTTACTCAAAAGTAACAAATAAAAAAAGAATCTCTGTTTTTTTGTAACCAAATCCGATGATCTGTGTTGTCACCTTACTGCATAATGGCCCTGAGTGCATCTTTCACGTATTTGTACTTGAATTCAAACCCAAGCTCTTTGGCTCTTACAGGTAAGACCTTCTGTCCTTCAAGAACCACAGTTGCTCCTTCTCCGAGTAAAGCTTTGAGTGCAAAGTCAGGAACTGGTAGCCACGACGGTCGACCAAGAACGCTGCCTAGCTGCTGACACATCTCCCCAAGCCTAACCGGGTTTGGCGCAGTCCCATTTATCACTCCTGCAACCACCAACACCAATAGCATTCCGCTTAGAGGAAACAATAACATAGAAAACAAGCACGTATGTTTGTTATGTTGTTACCTTGGTAGGATGGTTTAGTGAGGGCTTCGTAGATCAGATTCACCAAGTCATCCACGTGAATCCAAGAGAACCTATTCAGTGAACCTATGCACCATTAGATTCAAAGAGAGGCGGCAAACGATGACCAGAAAAAGTGTTTGATTTTACCATTGTTGTCCTGTACCCAGAGGTCCTCCAGCAAACATTTGGAAAAAGGGTACCATCATGGCTAAAATACGAATAAAACATCATCATCAAACAATCATTTCATTAGAGCATGTTTCATTAGCGAGAGACAGAGTACGCACCTAAAGCCCCACCATCTTTACCCAGAACAACACCAATGCGGATAAGTGCAACTCTTACATCCTTATTCGCTTTCAGAGCTGTTCCTTCCCATTCCCTGCAAACCTAAGGAGCAAAACTCTTTTACATACACTTAGACTAACATCTTTCACGGTCACATTCATGAACCAAAACCGCAAGAAAGTGATAAGTACCTCTGAAAGATAATCATTTCCTGATGGGCTCTTCTCATCAAATACTCCCGTCTCACTAGTACCTGAAAATTTAAATCCAATTAGTTTTGTTCTTGTTGGCATGGTCAGAGTATGAAAATTTGGTGACAGACCATAGTAACCAACAGCTGTGGCGCTAACTAGAACGGTAGGTCGAGCATCCACTGGGGAGTTATTAATCAACTCAACAACCTTGATGAAGTTTCAGAAAAAAAGAAGTTTATGAATCAAATTAACTAGTCAACATGTGAAGAGCTACAATCAAATAATAAAAGACAGTAACCACTACTAACTTTAGAGGTGACACGGACTCGACTGTCCTTAATCTCTTTCTTGATCTGCAAAAGCAAGCAAAGATATCAGAGCAAGAAAAAAAAAAAAAAAAGCATCTCAAAATTTGGAGAAGAAACTGACCTCTGGAGACCATCTTGTACTAATAGGAAGACCTGCCAAGTTGACAACAGCAGTTGAGCCTTGAATGCAGTCTCTCCACTCCCGTTCTTCAGCAATCACGATACCTGGGAAGTCCTTGGCTGAAAAAGACCATCAAAGAAGTAGATGAATGAGATCACATCACAGGAGGATAAAGTTATAATCACATACAAACAGCGTTAATGATCATCCTAGAAGAATAGGTGAGATTTACCTTCTTCTTACCAGGAAATATAAGTTCAGCTTTGGATTTGGAGCGAGTTAAGACACGGATAGAGTGATTATCTGCGCGAATAAGTAAAGAAAGTCGAATGCTTGTGTTAAAAACCTCATCCCTATAATATGTATAGTAAGCAGAGAAGAAGAAGAAGAAAAATAAAACCAGAACGAAGTCGGTGAACCAATCGTCTGCCTATAAATCCAGTTGCTCCAGTTACTGACACTGTCATCTTATCTTCCTGTGGAAACAAAAGAAAGAGCACATTGAACTGAAACTCTCTAGTGAACATCCAAAGCTTGGTCTTTGGGGAATGTGTTCTTATTTGAATGTATATATAATCCAATGCAAATGGGGTTTAGGTAAAAAAAAAATGGAGAATTTAAATGAAATACCTTATCAGATTTCTCAGAGCTACAGAGAATCATGAACCTCGTCCTTGCCCCTCGCATCTAAAAAGACCATGTAAACAAAATCCGAAACATTGATCATTAATGATTATCCTACTACACAAGGAGAATGTTTTTCTTTACAGAAGAAAAAAAAATCAAAAATCATTCTTACGGAGTAGGACGGAGAAACGAAAAGAGAAGATGAGAGAGCGAAGGAGGAGGAAAGAGATGTTGCTGGTGAGCAGAGAAGCTCCATCGTGTGTTCTGATTTGATCGTTTACAGAGTGAGTGGTGGAGGGGGAAACATGACATACATATTGGAAGAAGAGAACTTAACTTGCCTTTAATGGGCTATTCACGATTGAATCTACAGTAGTAATATCACTAAGGCCCATTTATCTCAACTTCTGGCCCATAAGCGTTTTTAAGTAGTCTTTCAAATGTTTCTGTAGGAAGAGGGGAGAGAGATGGCGGCGGCGATGCAGTGGTGCGGCGCGATGACGCGACGGATTATGATGGCCCAGCGAACGTCTGCAGCGCTGACTTGTTCGGAGAGGCATTCTTCGGCGGCGGGATCGATGGAAGTGTGCGGGAGAGGGGATAGTAAGACGAAGAAAGGGAAAAGGTTCAAAGGATCTTACGGGAACTCGAGAGGGAAGAAGCAGAAGATGATTGAGAGAATCAAAGACAAGCTCGAACTCCCCAGATCCACTCCTTGGCCTCTCCCTTTCAAGCTTATCTGATTATTTCATCTCTCCCTTTTTATTTGGGTATAATAAACTCGTCTTATCTGTGTTTTTGTTTCTTACTTGTATTGCCTATTATTTTCTCTCCATTGTTGACTGCTCTAGCTTCATTTGATTTCAATGTGAGGTCATCTGCTATAGAGTCTCAGTTGTTTGATTTCTTTCTTGTTTAATTGGATTTGTCCGATTAGAGCCTTAGCCTTGTACATTCTTGTCTAATTACTTTATTGTATGAAGATTATAGAACTAAACCATATCTCATGAATCATGTAACATTTTTGTAGTAAGCCCTGGCCAGTGACACTTGCATTTGGAGTTTTTATAACTTGTTTCACCTCCTGACGTGACTGTCTAATGCCCATAACTCAGTTCATAGTACAGGAGAGGTCAGAAAGTTTCTTGATCTGATATCATATTCAGATTCATTGATCATAGATTGCTCTCTATAAATTTTAGAGATAAATGGTTGTTTCCTAGGCTAGCATTTTATGATGATCCTACATCTGCCCAACTTGTTTGTTTTCTTTGAGTTTGACTCTTCTTTTATTTTCAGTATTTGGACTTTGGATTCTATGTCTTCTCTTGCTTCTCTCTCTGTTAATTTGCTGTAGGTGGAATTAATTTTGATTCTTTTGTCACAAATTGTGTTGGTTAACTAATGTGGAAGTAAACTCATTGAAACTCAACAATTATGCAAATTTGGCCGTGTGATTGTTTAAACATGTTGAATATGCTCAAGATGTTCTAAGCTAATCTTTAAAATGTAAACTGATGTCAGAAACTAATAATAAAAGAAGGTTGGTTCTTGTAATTTTTCATATAAACCAACTAATTTACTCATTTAAGATAAAATGTGACTGAAACAAAAGAGCTCAAAGGGAAAAATCGTTTTTTTTTATTTCCGAACTAATAAGAATGTACATGATAAATATATGAATATACTGTTAATTATGGTTTAAAACATTTTTATTCAAAATGTATGTATATGTAAAAGTATATAAATGTGATGATAAATATATGAAAAAGTAATATATGATAGATTTAAGTGTAAATGTGTGTATATGTAAAAGTATATAAATGTGATGATAAATATATGAATATACCGTTAATTATGATTTAAAACATTTTTGTTCATAATGTATGTATATGTTTTTTTTTTTTTTTTGAACAGCCATGTATGTATATGTAAAATTATATAAATGTGATGATAAATATATGAAAAAGTAATATATGATAGATTTAAGTGTAAATGTATGTATATGTAAAAGTATATAAAATGTGATGATAAATATATGAATATACATGGATCTTCGGCGGTGGCTAAGGTGAATCAGAATACTCAGGGTAAGATCGGAGAAGTCGGAGCTGTTTTGGATGGATCTAAGGAGGTTACGAAAGTGACGAATCAGGAAGACGAGGAGATGTCAAGGAATCAAAGGGGTGAATCAAACTTGGTAAATCGAACGGTAGAACAACGATCAGAGAACCTTTCGAGGGGATCTGAAAAGGGAGGATCATCATGGATTGAAGCTGCTATGGAGAAGAAAGTTCTTAAGAAGTATGATTTTGCAATCACAGAAAAGGAAGGTAAAAAGATTGTAGAGGTTCCGGATGAGATCATTGATAAAGCAAATCTGCTTTGGGAAGATTACTTGATTGGGAAATTCCTCGATACTGCTCCTCATGTTGCCAGAGTCCACTCTATAGTGAACAGAATCTGGTCACAAGGAGAGTCAAAGCAAATTGATGTTCATGTTGTGGATGATACGACAATGAAGTTCAGAGTCTCCAACCCGGCAATGCGTGCTAGAATCCTAAGGAGAGGTATGTGGAATATTGGAAATGTGCCGTTGGTTGTGACTAAGTGGACTCCAGATGAGTTAAAGGAGAAACTTGAAATCAAGGCAATACCGATGTGGGTTCATCTTAAGAACGTTCCAATGAACATGTTCTCATGGGAAGGCTTAAGTTTTATCACGAGCGCTGAGGGGTTTCCGGTAAGGCTTCATCCAGAGACAGCATCATGTTTGAACTTCAAGTTAGCAAAGGTTTTTGTTAACGCTGATCTATCCAAGGAGTTGCCAAATAAAATTAACTTCACAAAGAATGGTCAATCTGCTTTGGTGGAGTTTATTTATCCGTGGCTACCTCTCCGATGTCAAACGTGTGGGAAATGGGGGCATATTGCAAAGGTTTGTGTTATGAATAAGGGTAATGATCAGCAGAATCAAACAACGGAAAGAGACATCAATTTGGGGAAGGAAACTGTTGTTAAGAAGAATGAAGGAGCTATTGAAGTTCATAATGAAGAAAGTAAGGAGGAGGTGAATGAGAATAAAGACTTAGAGGAGGGTGAGTGGCCGGATGCTACCCCAGAAAAACAGTTACAAGCCATAGTCAGCTACAGTTCGGTCAAGTGAAAATCTTAACTCCATCTAGATTTTCGCCTCTGCTTGAAGTGGATGAGAAAGGAGACATGGTAAAATCTTCTGGACAAGAGGAGGTGCAGAATGTTGGTAAAGAAATTGTAGATGCTGAGAAAGAGATTGCTAATAAAACGAAGATTTTTGAAGATGCAAATGATAAGGAAAAAGTTGTGGCTAATGGAACAAGTAGCAAGGATGAGAGCATGGCAGAGGAAAAAGCAGAAAGACGGACTCAGGGTATTGCGGGTATTCAAAACACTCAGGAACACTGGCCTGATTTGGCAAGTGCAGCGAAAATTAGACCTTCTCTACCGCGAAGATCTAAGACGCAACATAAAGTTCTCTGTGAGGTTTCGGGGCCTCAGGGTAAAAGAAGCAACTCAAATCTTCTTCAATGACTGGATTTTTCTGGAATGTGAGGGGTTTTAACAAGAAATCGAAGCAGGATGTGGTTAAGAATTGGATTTTTTTCAAATAACTTACAGTTTGGAGGGTTAATGGAAACTCGTGTGAAGGAGAATAAAGCTCAGCAGATTGTCTCGACAATGTTTCATGGGTGGTCTCTCATAAGAAATTATGAATTTAGTAGGAAGGGGAGGATTTGAGTACTTTGGAGCTCTCAAGTTAAATTGACTCCTATTTTCAAGTCTAGTCAAATTGTTACGGTCTCAATTCTGGGGGAAGATGAGGAGGAGGAATTCTTTTGTTCTTTTGTATATGCTGAGAATACTGTTGAAGAAAGAAGGGAGCTTTGGGGAGATATTAAATCTCATCATGATTCGCCTTTGTTTAGGAACATGCAGTGGATCATTATGGGGGATTTTAATGAAATTCTTGAGGGTGATGAGCATTCTTGCTATTTGGATTCAGGTATCATCAATGCTGGTATGAGGGATTTTGATACTATTGTTCAGTATTGCAATTTTACTGATCTTGGATGTCAGGGGCCTAAGTTTACATGGTGTAATCGAAGAGAGGAAGGGTTAATCTGCAAGAAGCTGGATCGATTCTTGGTAAATGATATTCGGATGAATAATCACACGCAAGCCTATGGTGCTTTTGAAGCAGGAGGATGCTCTGATCATCTCCGTGGCTGGTTTCATTTAAAGGCAGAGGCGGTGGGGAAATGTAAACCTTTTAAGTTTAGAAATGCGGTGGCTGAAATGCCTGGTTTCCTTAAGGTAATGGAAGAATACTGGAGGGATAACCAAGCTTTATTCCAATCTACATCTGCCTACTTCAGGTTTTCGAAATACCTTAAAGGTCTCAAGCCTTTGATAAGAAACCTTAGTAAGGAGAAACTGGGTAATCTGTCAGTAAGAGTAAAGGAAGCATATAAGGATCTCTGTGATAAGCAAGAGAAGTTGTTAGATGATCCTTCTCAGATTACTATAAAGGACGAGCTTATTGCAGCTGAAAAATGGACTAGAATTGCTGGAATTGAAGAGAATGTTCTGAAGCAAAGATCTAAAATGCATTGGCTACTTTTGGGAGATAGAAATAATAAAGTATTTTACAATGCTGTTAAGATCAGAGAGATGAAAAATGATATTCGCGAGATCAAGGATAACTCTGGTGTTGTGGTTAAATCTCAAGAAGGTATTAAAAAGGAATCAGTGAGGTTCTTCAATGATCTTCTATCCTATGATCCTTCTAATGTTAGGAGTGTTTCAGTTGAGGAGTTGAAGGAAATCCTAGAGTTTTGATGTAATGAGCTGGAGAGAAGTCAGTTGACCAAGCCTGTAACTGAGGATGAGATCCGAGATGTGTTGTTCAAAATGCCAAGCAACAAAGCTCCTGGTCCTGATGGATATACTGCAGAGTTTTCAAAGCTTCTTGGAGTATTATCGGGAAAGACCTCACCATAGCAGTTCAATCTTTTTTCAGTAAAGGATTTTTGCCAAAGGGGTTAAATACCACTACCCTTGCTCTTATTCCTAAGAAGGAGGTGGCTGTTGAGATGAAGGATTATAGGCCAATCTCTTGCCGCAATGTCTTATATAAATTGATTTCCAAGATCTTAGCAAATCGGTTAAAAGGTACGATCCCTCAGTGTATATCTCCTAATCAATCAGCTTTTGTAAAAGATAGACTGCTTGTGGAAAACCTGTTACTTGCGACGGAGATTGTCAAAGATTATCACAGAGAGGATATTTCTCCCCGATGCGCCATGAAGATTGATATAGCAAAGGCTTTTGACTCTGTGAATTGGGGTTTTCTGCTCAATACTCTATGTGCTCTGAATTTACCGGATCAGTTTGTTCACTGGATCGAGCTTTGTGTGTGTACTCCTTCCTTCTCCCTACAAGTTAATGGGGGAGTTGGCAGGGTTTTTTTCAGAGTAAGAGGGGTCTGAGGCAGGGATGTGCTCTATCTCCCTACTTATTTTTCATATGTATGAATGTTCTATCACATATGATAGATAGGGCAGCGGCTGTTAGTCATATTGGTTACCATCCAAGGTGCAAAAACATCCTTCTAACTCATTTGTGCTTTGCAAATGACCTTTTGGTGTTCACTGATGGTACAAAGAGGTCTATTGAAGGAGTTCTAAAGGTCTTTCAAGAGTTTGAAGCAATATCGGGGCTCAAGATCAGTCTTGCGAAATCTACTCTTTATGTTGCTGGAATTTCTGACAGTCAACAAAGAGACATCATTTCGAGCTTTTCTTTTGCGTCTGGAACTTTGCCAGTAAGATACCTTGGTCTTCCTACCTCACTAGAAGAATGACCGTGAATGACTACATGCCACTGATTGAGAAAATTAAGAAGAGGATGAAATCCTGGACAAGAAGGTTTTTGTCGCATGGGGGAAGGCTGCAACTTATTA